CCAATTTTTAACTTTTGCCCTTTGGCTTTAAAGGCGGGGAGTGGGGGGAGGTGGCAGGAGTTTTCTGACAAGGGGGAAAGTGTGCATGTGTTTTGGGTTTGTTTGCTGTGGGGTTTTTTGGTTATTTTATTCTTACTCAAAAACAGCTAAACTGTTTATACCCAAATTTTCCAGAAATATTCACCCCTGGGCAGAATCCAAACATGGGAAATTTCAGCCTGGAAGTTCAACTCTTCAGAAAGTTACGTGGACTGAAACCAGGCGAGTCTGAGGGACTCTCAGTAATTCCCAGGGCGGTCGGGCCAGGGCTGCCCGGGCACTGTTGTCTCCTCCGAGGTTCCGTATTTGAGTCTCTTTGATCACATTCAGTCATTTGACAGGGGTCAGCTGGGGTTATACAAAAGAAACTAAATATTCCAAGGACCCCCCTTCAGTGCAGCTGGGGGGTTCAGGCCCAGAGACCATCTAGGTCTCAGAAGTTGGAGTCAGAGTGTTGGGTGTCTCAGGGAATCAGAGCCGGCTACAAACCCTTCCAGCGGGGGAGGGGAGGTGTTAACGCGCAAAGAGTCCGGGGGCCTCAGCCACGTTCCTAGTGGTCAAATCTCTGCTTTGCAAAACCTGCTACTACGACTGACCCCTTGGCAGAAAACCACGGCCTGGCCTGTGCATCTCAGCACGCCTGTGTGTTCATAGCGTGTTCCATGAGTGCGTCCTGGTGCATGGCACACCTGCACCTCCGTGGGGGTGCTTTTGGCACATTGCATGGGCATGGCATGGTTGTGTGTGGGCACGTCGTCTTCATGGCATGGACACACATGTGTCTGCGCAGCTGAGTGGTGAGCATGCATGTGCATGGCTGAGCGGCACAGGGACTGCTTGTGCACATGGCATGTTCACATGTTCACGTGTGCATGTATGATCTGCACAGGCTGTGTGTCCAAATGGCCTGTGCCAGGCATGTCTGTATCTGTGTGGGCCTGGTGTGTTTGTGTGCCAGCTGTATCTGTGTCCATACGGGGCGTGTGCATGGCGTGTTTGTGTGACGTTTGTATGGGCAGGGCCTGGCTATGTCTGGATGGGGTAGGGACACAGGGGTGTCTGGATTGGTGTGTCTGTGTCCACGCGTGTCGTAGCCCCGCCCGGCGTGTGCCCGGCGCGTGTCGCGCGTTCGGTGCGGCTGTCAGGTCCCGGGGCAGCGGGAGCGGCGCTGACACACATTCCCCGTTTGGCAAAGGGAAGCAGCTCCATGTTGTTTGTATTATTTATTTGTTTTATTTGCAGTGAAAGTGCTGCGCTGACGGCAAATGTCACTTCCACCATCTGCCGCGTCTGGCTGCCTGGCTGTCGCGCAGCAGCGAGCGGGAGGGAGGCAGTGAGGAGGGGATCTGCTTTCGAGTACGCAGCTTGTGTCCCTGCGGAAGGGGCTCCAAGCAGGCGACGAGACTGAGGCCTCATCAGCCAAACCTCCGCGGGGAAACCCCCCTTGGGAGACAGACACAACACCGGCAGGGAACTGAGTCAGCGCAGGGTCGGAGGGACCTCGCTCTACCCCGGCATCTCGTCCAATGCAGGGTCCGAGGGACCTCCCCGACCAGGAGCCGATCTAGTGCATGAACTGAGCAAACTCACCTGGCCCAAACACCCTCGGCCACCTCTGATTCCTGGGGTCCCCAGCACAATCCCTAGCCCACGGGCCCCTCGACCAGCCAGCCAGCCCCCCACAGGCGCTGACGCGGGCAGGAGCCATCGCCTTGTGTGGGAGCAGCGAGAGGCCAGGGCGATTTACAAAGCACGGCTTAATTTGCTACCAGCAGCGACGAGACCGGGAATTCGGCCCGTTAGCCACCACGGAGGCAGCTGATGCTAGTAGTTTGTGACGGGGACAGAGGCTCCCTTGTTTGCCTGATTTATGGACCAGCTTCGGGCCCCGAGCCGGGGCGTGCGCAGACCCAGCCCCGCTGGGACACATACAAAGAACCCGGGCCGGAGCCTCCAAACCGGGGCTGGCGCCGGCGCCGCAGAGCTCGGCCCACCAACAAAAGAGGTGTTCGCTCCCCAAATCCCGGAGGTTTCCCGACCCGCTTACAGGATCCCCAGGGGAGCCTGAGGCTTGGGGGGGCTTTGCGGTGAGACGGTTTGAATAGGGGAATTTACAGCCCTGCTTATTCCGGGGAGGCAGGGAGCAGAGGGGGACAGATGGCAAGTGCTCCCCCACTGCCCCTCAATCCTTCCTGCTGACCCA